TTTTGACGGCTTTATGTCAATTGATAATCCTTGCCAGAAATAATTCATTAAGAATTGCAAGATGATGGCTTTATATTCTACCATTTTGTCTAAATTTGTTAGCCGTAATTCTTCCATAAATAGAACTTGCTTTGACCAACTGCAATTATTTTGTTATCTTGAATAGCTTCTTCTAAATGACAGGGTACATGTAGAAACAGTTTTCACGGTATTAGGTCATTGGTAGACACTTTCCTCTACTTGAAAAGCCAAAGGCATGATTTTATTTATTATTTTAGTTTTCAAAGGAAGGCATGATTTTATATTTAACATCAGAACCATTTTTCCCTCACGACTCTAAAATACATCTCAATAAGGCAGTTATTACAAATACTTTGAAAATTAAATAAATTTAAGAAATTGGTATGTTAGGAAAGTTTTCACGAGTTTGTAAAGTGATGCATTATTCCTCAGCTACTTCTCAGTATCTTCCTTACTCTGGATCATACCAAATACTTCTTGCATATTTGATTTTATGTTTCTTAGAAATTTAAATTTAAATGTTCTTTCTTTCTCAACTCATGTCTCCAAAATTTTTATATTCCCCTACATATTAATAGAAAACCAATTCTTTTTTATATTTTTTTAAATGTTTTATTTATTTTTGAGACAGATGGAGACAGAGCGTGAGCAGGGGAGGGGCAGAGAGAGAGGGAGACACAGAATCCGAAACAGGCCCCAGGATCCGAGCTGTCAGCGCAGAGCCTGACTTGGGGCTCGAACTCGCAAACCGTGAGATCATGACCTGAGCCGAAGTCGGATGCTTAACCGACTGAGCCACCCAGGCGCCCCTAGAAAATCCATTCTTATAAGGGTCTGGGATCTGACTCCCAAGAGCTTTAAGTAGAAGATGTGAAGAATGGGAAGACAAAGACAACTTTCATTGTTTCTTGATCAAATGTTGTACATGACCTTCACTTCTATATTTGTACATGTTGTACATGACCACAGATTTTTTTTCTTATTTTGTTTCTTTTTGGAGATTTTTATGTTTTCTGTCTTTTTAAGTGGCAGATGTAAAAGTTAAAAAGGCGTAATTCTTGTAGCCAAAATGGAGTAGATAGTCCATATCACAGTGTGTCAAGCTCCTCAAGGATGCTCTGTATTTGGAGAAAGGCTTCCGGGAGTTTTTTGTTTGTTTGTTTGTTTTGTTAACCATAGTGTATCCTCACTCTTCACTCTGATATTTGAGAAACATGATACAGAGTTTAAAGTACTTAAATGTTATTATGAGTTTCATCTGGCAAGATTAAGCTATTTAAGTTTTCTAAGGTATTATTTTTCTTAAATTTTTAAAAATGTTTTATTTATTTTTGAGACAGAGAGAGACAGAGCATGAATGGGGGAGGGGCAGAGAAGAGAGGGAGACACAGAATCCGAAGCAGGCTCCAGGCTCTAAGCTGTCAGCACAGGGCCCGACGCAGGGCTGGAACTCACAAACTGTGAGATCATGACCTGAGCCAAAGTCGGACGCTTACCTGACTGAGCCACCCAGGCACCCCAAGTTTTCCAAGGCATTATTGCCTATTATTCTTTAGTAATTCTTGCCAAACTGTTCCCTGTGTAATCCCCAATTATAACAAACCATCCCTTGTTCAGACTAATAGGATATGGTGGACAGTCTGGGTGGCAAAATATTTTGAAACAAATTCTACACACACACACACACACACACACACACACGAATTATTTTTCTCTAAAAGCAAGTATATGACTAAAGCGGCAAGAAATAATTGTTACATAATAAAGTTGGGGGTAAAGTCTTCCTTAATGAAGTGATACCTTTTAATTAGCTCACCGTTAATAAATCGTCCGTGCTTCCGGAGTCCTTGAGAGGATTTGAAAATAGTTGGCTCCGTGAGGGAATTCATCATCTTTGCAAACTATGCTTGCCCTGTTTGGTCTTTTTTGGAAAATGGTTGGTGCAAAGGAAAATTTCCTAAGTTTTAATAAAGTTTTACTGTTTAGCTCTCTGCACGCCTTTCCAAAGGACCATACACATCCATCGATGCAAGCCTTAATTGTTGGCACAAGGATGTTGATTTGATCATGGGCTAATAATAGAAACTATATGGAGTGAAGTGAGTGAAAAAACTGTCACCCTGTGCATGTAGCATCTAAAAAGGCAACGTGACTCTGTGCAGGGCCAATTACGTGGATTAAGATGGGTCTTTGTTGGGGCGCCTGGGTGGCTCTGTCAGTTAAACGACTTACTCGGGCTCAGGTCATGATCTCACGGTTCCCGGGTTGGAGCCCGTGTGGGGCTCTGTGCTGCCAGTGTGGAGCCTGGAGCCTGCTTTGGACTCTGTGTCTCCCTCTCTCTCTGCCCCTCCCCCACTCGCACTCTCTCTCAAAACTAAATAAACATTTAAAAAAGAAAAAAAGACTGAGCTCTGGAACCACAGAGAGCTGTCTCCAGTCTCCACCGGGTACCCGAACCTCAAGGTCTCTGAGCCTCAGTTTACCCATCTGCAAAATAAGTATGATGCTCAGAGTGCATGCATTATAGGGCTGTTGCAAGAATCAAACGACGTAATGCCTACAGATATTTACTTAAACCTTCTAATGGCTTCCTAGTTGCATATAATATGTAGATTGGTTAACATCACCTGCATGTTCAGCAAGGTCTGGCTCCTATTTATATTTCTAACCCAAGTTCCCAGTATTCTCCTCTGGGGCTATACTTAGGTCACAGCCAAACTTCTTTCTTTCCTTTCCTTTCCTTTCCTTTCCTTTCCTTTCCTTTCCTTTCCTTTCTATAAAACTATGTCCTACCTCAGGACCTTTGTACATGCTGTTCTTTCTGCCTGGAACAATTAATTTCTTTTGCTCTTTGCATGGCTAAACAATTTTTTTACTAGTCTCATTAAAAAAAATTTCCGTCTTTCCTAACCTTCCCCCACAAACTTGTCCCTTAAAATTCTTCTCTATACTATTCTTTGGGTTCTTCTCTGCATTTTCCATTCTTATCATACTTGCCATTGTTCTATTCATTTCTCGAGTTTGTTTTATTTATCATGTCCAGTAGAAAGGTGGTTTTATAATGTCAAGTATAATGTATATATTTGTATACCACTGTATTTCTGGCTTCTAGCACAGTGTCTGGCATAAAGCAAAACCATAATAAATATCTGTAGAATAAGAAGCTGAGCAAAGTACAGGGCCTAGTACAATGAGTATCAATGCTCAATAAATGCACATTAGCATTGCTATTATGAAACTCCTTCTAATTACTATGTGATAAACTTGAGAAGATTTACTTACTAGAAGATTTACTTACTAGAATCACAATATATGACATGGCATCCTTTCAGTGGAAACGTGTGGTAGGGAAGGTCTTCTCTTGAAGAGATTTGTGGGTATGGTTTTTGTCTAACCAAGTTGGACTCCACCAAGATTCACTGAAGACCTACACAGTTTTAAATGGAATTAGATAAACAGACAAAGCACCTGCTTGGATTGAAAGAGACCGAGAGAGGGGCACCTGGGTGGCTCAGTCAGTTAAGTGTCTGACTTCAGCTCAGGTCATGATCTCATGGTTTGTGAGTTCGAGCCCTGCGTCGGGCTCTCTGCTGTCAGTACAGAGCCTGCTTTGGATCTTCTGTTCCTTTCTCTGTGCCCCTCTCCAGCTTGTGTGCCACCCCCCCAAAAAAATAAATAAACATTTTTAAAAAAGAAAGAGACTGAGAGAGAACAAAATAAAGATGTCTTTGGACTCCCAAATTCTATTGGCAGAAAACAGGTTGAGAACACTATGTAGCTGCAAACGTGGGTTACCTTTCATTAAAAAAAAAGCAGGGAAGATCCAAAGAGTGGAACCAGGCATCTAGAGGACAGAGCTGAGAGCCATAGAGAAGCATTCCAACCTTGAGACTTAATCAAGGAACTGCCAACATTTGCTTGTTTGGATTTCATCATTGTTGGGGACTCAGGATCCTGGCCTCCTCTTAGCACCTTTTCATAGTTCCATCCCGCACGGTATCAGGATTCATCTGTGTGGCCAATAGGCTGTAGCAGAAGTGCTGCTCTGTCATTTCCAAGGTTAGGTTACAAAGGACAGCAGCTTCCATTCTGAGATCTTTCTCCCTCTTTCATTTCCTCATCATTCACTTTCACTAAATATGTTGATATTTGTCCATATGATACCCTTTCAGAACATCTGGATCAGTATTCTTAGAAGGATTGCTGCGTGTTATATTTTGCATGGCGCAATCCTGAGTTATGCCTGTTTGTCCTAGAATAATTGTTTCCTCATTGACTACCCAAGTGTTCTGGATTGGATGATAAATTACACGATCACAATTATTATTAACATCTCTAGCATCCTACACATTCAGCCATATGTCCATTTACATTTTGTTAAACCGTACCATTGTGTGGTGTGTATGCAGGCACGTGTGTGTGTGCGTGTGTGTGTGTGAGAGAGAGAGAGAGAGAGAGAGAGAGAGAGAGAGAGAGAAGCAGAGACAAAGAAAGCTGGTTTTTCAGGGCACGTGGGTGGCTCAGTTGGTTAATCGTCTGACTTCAGCTCAGTTCACGATCTTACAGTTCGTGAGTTCATTCCCTGCATCGGGCTCTGTTCTGATGGCTCAGAACCTAGAGCCTGCTTCACATTCTGTGTCTCCCTCTCTCTCTGCCCTTCTCCCATTTGCACTGTCTCTCTCAAAAATAAATAAACATTAAAAAAAGCTGCCTTTGCATCTCTCAATTATTTCTCCTCCTTTTAAAATGTTTTTATAATTCTCTCCACCTTCCTGGCCAAAAGTAACTAAGCAGAGTTAGGAAAGTCATAGTCTATAAAAGGTGGCTGCAAAAGGTGTAAGTCCCATGTTCTCATTTGTCTCCTGGAACCTCAACCCTTATAGTAGCATATCCAGGTCTTAGAAAAACCAACTTCTACATATAATGCTTCAAGTGTTTTTTTGACCGATTATATTTCATTTCTTTTTTCTTCCATGCAGGACCTGAAATGTGGAGGGGAAGGACTCAGTCAGTACATTCCTATGTCATGTTTAAACACCAACAAAACATTTGACAAGTATGTTCCTTCATGGTGGATTGAATGCATTTTATTTTATTTTGTTTGTTTCACTCTAGGTTAAATATGGGGCAGTTATAGGTACCAAGCAGCCCAAGTTTGATTCACCTTAAGGATCAGTTTGTGGGAGACATGACCTCCGTTCCTCTTGAGATTTATCTGTGCCCTTCCATTCCTATATGACTGTTGGGGATGGGGCCATCATAGTAATGGAAGTATAGCTTGGAACCACCCCTTACTTACCTCTCAGGAAGTATCTAAATTCTTCGTCCAGTGTAGGAGCTTCCAAGATCAGGCTGTGGCACCTGCTGTTTCTCTGTGCCAGGAGAGGAAGTGCAGTAGTGGTGGGTGTGGGTTCAGAGGGGCTCTCAAGGTAGATGGTCTCCCTTTGAATCTCAGGCTTTTATGCCTTATGACCATGTGACCTCAAATAAGATGGTCAACATTCCCCAGCATCGGTTCATCAGTGAAGTAGAAATAATAATACCTCATTGGATTATCTGAGGGGTTAAATGAAATAATAGATATAATGTTTTCAAAAGAGTACCTTGAACATGGTAGGCATCCCATAAGTGTTAGTTAATACTGTATATCAGGGGTTCTCAACATGGATCAGTTTTGGCCTCAAGAGACATTTGGCAATGTCCGGAGACTTAAAAAAAAAATGTTTTTATTTATTTTTGAGACAGAGAGAGACAGAGCATGAGCAGGGGAGGGGCAGAGAGAGAGGGAGACATAGAATCCAAAGCAGGCTCCATGCTCTGAGCTGTCAGCACAGAGCCCAACGCCGGGCTCGAACTCACGGACTGTGAGATCATGACCTGAGCTGAAGTTGGACGCTCAACCGATTGAGCCACCCAGGCGCCCCTGGAGACATTTTTTTTTATTATTATTATCATGACTGGGACTAGGGAAGGGTCTGTTAATGGCATCTGGTGGTCGGGGGCCAGGGATCTTGCTAAACATTCTACAATGCACAGGCCAGCCTCTAAACAAAGGATTATGGGGTTCAAAATGTCAATAGTGCAGAGGTTGAGAAATCCTGTTGTATATATCAATGCGGTTTGCTCATTGTAATTTTACTTAATTTCTAATCTGACTAGCAGAGAAAATAAGGTATCAGCTGGAGTGGGGCCTGTCTCTCTGTGAAGACAATTCAGTGTCTCAGGGAACATGCCAAGCAGGCAAGATTGTATTTTGCTGAGATGTCATTCAGTGCTCAAGGTGGTATCACGGAAGTAGGGTAGCATGTTCCCAGCGCCCGACTTTTCTGTGTTAGGACTTCAGACCAGGAAAATGGCCAGGGATGTCTGCAGGACATTATACGCAAGGGAGTTATTTACAGACTCATTTACAATAGTGAGAGTTGGAACAAACCTAAATATCCAACAATAAGAGATTATGCCACGGGGAAAAAAATAGAGTCACATGGAAAATGCCTATAATGTACAAAGTGGTAAATATGGGTTACAAAATAGTATTTACATCATCAGTCTTATTTTGTAAAGCATAAAAAGGTATATTTTGCTACCTGGCTATGAGGAACGGACCTCAATATTTCATCAGTGTTTATATCAGGGTCGTGGACTAATGGATGACTGTTGTGGGGCTTTTTATACAATTAAATTTTGCATAATGTGCAAACATAAGCATATATTTCTATAATCACAAAAGTAATAAGTATTGTATATGAGGGGAAACAGAGAGTAATAATATGCCACAGGACCTAATTCAAAATGAGCTCATGTCTGGTCTGGTTCCTGGTCTAGGGTCTGACTACTCACTCCAAGGGGACACCAATCTCTAGATTTACCTCTCCGTACCTGATAAGGTGTTAAAACTGTGTATTAACCTTTTGATGTGCATTGTGTTTCTTTTTAACTAAGGGAGGTATTCTTAGGAAACCTTTAATTACAAAGAACTAGGATTGTAACTAAGGACCTTCCCCCCACCTTTAGGATGATAATCATGAATTCAGCATCTAATTATTTAGATTAAGTTTTTAAGATATTTCATGAGTGCCTTACAATGCTTATCAAAAGAACAAAGAAAGAAACTGAGGAAACCATCTCACTGTGGCTAACACATCATGTTTGATGTTTACTAATGAAATCTGTTTACCTTCATAACTGTATAATAGGGCCATTAAAGACAATAGATACAGTAGTTTAAAAGTAATAAAATTTACAACAAAGTGTATTTAATTTGAAATTGAATTGCCAGCAAATGGTGTCCTAATGAACCCTTGTGTCAATGGAGCTCTAACCAAATTAAGGGAAATCATTTCTATCACAAGAAACTAAATCAGCTGTGAGATCCAAAAAGGCCATTCCTCTGGTGGGGGTACAGTCATTGTCACAGATGGCTCTGCTGATGGAATTAAGCTTAAGTTAGGAGAAATGAAATACAAGATCCTTCTTAATTCAAATGAATTTGGGAACGCAGGCAAATGTTAGAAAATCAAAATTAAATAAATAAATGAATGAATGAATGAATAAATGAATGAATGCATAAATAAATAAATAAGTGAGTCATAAAAAAGAACCTCAAATAAAGGCAGTAAATGTTAACAGGAGGAAAAAAAAAAGCCTGGGGAACATTTTTGAAGGTAGAAATAGATCTTGATTTCTGGCCATTGCATTACAAAAATAAAAAGTTTATGTCATATCAGCTATTCAGCTATTTGAACGATTCCTCTATTTCCAAGTTTCTTCATCAGTTTATAAGACTGAAGGAGTGGGGGGCTGAAAATTAAGTGGCAAAATGTTTTACCAAATATTTGATCTTCGGTAATTTCTGAAACGAGCCACATTTTAATTACTGGGAGATCGGTATTGACTACAGGGAGTCTTGAATTTTATAGAGATCACATTTCAAAAGCTACTCATCTCCCCAACTTTAATCAACGGTAGTTGTGTGGTATTTATCTAATTCTCAGTTAATCTGACACAATGTTTGAGGAAAACATCAAATTGTGTTGTGGTTCCAAAGGCAAACCTTTTCATTATCCCCATTGTCAATTTCTCTTCCTTTTATTTCTCCTCCTCTTGTACCCGCTGCAGAGTGCCAAGTCAACCATTAATTGCACATCGAGATGTCTGGAAAGAAAACAGGCCGGCCGAGCTCTGTACTCTCACAGACGTAACTCACGAATCAAAGGCAGCAGCAGCAGGACCTTGCTGGAAGGTGAGACTCTCATGACTGACTTTTTCTCGGATGCAAAAATGTGAAATGATGAGATCAAAGGTTCTTGGCTCGCTGTCCTGGTTGGCTTTTCCTCCTGCTGGGACCCTCTAGAGAAACAGAGTTTCAACAGGTCTTGGTAAATATCTTTGAGGAGAATTCTACACTCAAATAGAAGGGCTAAAATTCTCGACTGTAAAGCATTGGGAATTCCTCAAGAATGGTGTGCACAGTGCCAGGCTGGGTTCCCACTAGACAATGAGGCGGGACTGTCTCCATGCAAATGAGACAGGTTTGAGATTTGATGAATCTTCTGTCTTCTGTCCCTACTCATCTGACACTCGCTTTGAGGAAGGTTGTAAATGCAAGAGAGATTGTGGTATAATTCCTCAGACTGGCATTTCTGCCCCCTAGTCACCATTCGATTATCTTCCAAATTGCTGTGTTTCAGAGAGATAAAGATTTTTTATGGCTTGCTGACTTGAAACAACCACAAGAGCCAGCAAAGAAATGACTAAGCGGCCATGCATAGTAATTCCATTGGTAAATGACAAAATCTTTGTTTGTATGACATTTCCAAAATTACTACAGAAGATGGATCTAAAATACAAAATGTCACATTTGGCATGCAAAACTATCACAATATATTTCAGTATAAAATTCATAGAGGCGTTTAATTTAGAATGTGTTTAATAACTCGGTCTGCCTGCATCAGTAATCCTGCCTTGAGGTTTAAAGAGCTTGTCTTATTTATTCACATGGCGTTAATTTTTTTAAAAAAAATATTTTTGGAAGCCAACATATTAAGGTTAAGTCTTTATTGTTAATTAAGATTTTCTAATTAAGCCAAAAATAATTGTTATTCTGATTGGTTTTTAAGTATGACTTCTGTGAGAAAACAAAAGAAGTTTAGCAACTTCCACTGTTTATTTAGCTGTGATTTGATTCCAGAAGCATACTATCTATATGGAAATATATATTATCGCTCACAAAATAAAGTCTAGGCAGGATTAAAAGGTACTTAACCGTTGGCTGCAGATTAATGGGTAGCTACTAACTCCAGGAGCCAAGAGAATACAGTAAACTGCTTCGAAGAACGGCATTATTTTTTGCTTAAAGCACAATGTAATATAGAATTCTTTGAGGTCAAATGATTCCAAAGACTATTTGGGACTTGTGAGTATAGAAAACATGACTTAATGACATTTGAGTTATTAATAATCCCAGGTTAATTTTTGTTTAATCTGAAACAAGTCCATTAAAAAAGTCTTATCCATTTGGATAAACTTTCCAGCACTTGTTGTTATGCCCAGAATTCGTGATCCCCAAAGACCACTAGGGAGCCGAGTCCGATGCAAAAGCAAAGAGCCTTTATTCGAGTAGCTCGAGCTCAGTCCCCTGCCTGCACCGACGCAGCGGTGAGATACCGGGGAAAGAGAGCGAGTTTCAAAAGGACAAAGGTTTTATTGGGGCCTGGGGGCAGTTGGTGAGGTAATGGCTATGGCCTCAGCTGATTGGCTGGGGAAGGGTCCTGGGGAAGGGTCCGAGTCCTGTTAGGCAGGTGAGGGGGGAGTTACTCAAGGGGAGGAGGTGTGGTCAAGGTGAAGGACACAGAACAAGACAGAGTCGGCTGGCGTAGGCCCGCCCTTTCATTGTTAAAAATGAAAATGGCCTATTCCTAAAAATGAAAATGGCCTATTCCTGTGAGTGGAAGGTAAGCAATGAAGTTCAAATGCCCCATAAAATATTCTTGACTCCTGTTCTTTAGTTACATACAATGTATGCTAAGTTTTAGGTTAAAGCACACACAAATGCTACTCCGTCCTTTACGTTGTTTTTTTTCTCTCCTTGGAAGCCCATGGGGTAAGTTGACCTCATGCTTAAACTGAATAAAAGTATTTATCAGGTGAAGGGTTTGTCTGACCTACTTTGGACTTGACTCATCAAGGTGGTATAGGGACCAAGGGCAGGCTGCCCCAAATGTACCACAAGGGCACACAGACTATTTTGAATTGAAGCTACGTGAGAGACAGCCAGTGCAAGACCACTCAGATCCTCCTCCGTTCCCCTGAAAATAGGAAATAAATCTCCCATATGAAAGGTACCCACCCTTTACTAAGAAGTGAAAAGACATCCTTATCACCAGAGATTGGAACTTTCAAGCGAAGAACGCTGTAGAAAGCTTGTTATTTTATTTTATTTTTTTACTGATCTACAATCTCAGCCCAGATTTTGCTTGGAATTACTTCCTAATTAAACCTCTTAAACACCCGTTTTCTTTATCCTGTTTCTTTCTCGCAACATTATTTTGTTTCTTCCTAACATGTCTAAAAACTGCTTTCCTTGGTCATTTCTTTATGTCTCATTTTCATTATTGGGCCTCCTTGTGCGTGTCAAAAAACGTTGGCTTCTTTCTCCAGTTCATCTGTTCACGTAAACTTAATTTTCAGTCCAGCAAAGACCTGGAGGGGTAGAGAAAAAAGTATTTTCCTCTCCTACGGCATCCTGTGGTCTGTGATTAGTGTCAGAGGTAAGGGTTTTTGCCTTCCAAACTCTTGAGTTTGAAACTCACGGCCCATACTCACCCTCCCAGATACCTCAAAGAGGCACGATGTGTGGTTTTCAGAAGTGTTGGTATCCTGTTAATTCTATCTTATTATAATAGATGAATGGTTTCTGATGTCACAGATCATTAACATACCATGCTTAAAAATTGGCTAACCTTTCCCCTGGCGTAATTGGCAGGCTTGCCTTTTGACCTCCTAATTATATATCGTGTGTCCTCCTCTGTTATCATTGCTAATACCTGACAATTACAGGTTGAGCGAAAATAATTGTCTATTTCCCCCCACCCCCAAGAAGTGCATTGTGGCTAATTGTGTGGTTTCATCCAGTTCCTGCGTATTTCAGGAGACCTGCCTTGTCTTTAGGTTGAGCGCGGCCAGGCGCCTCAGCATCTTCAAGTACGGATGAAATGTGCAAGAGGCCTCAAGAACAAGGCTCCCCGAGGCTCCTACCGCCTCAGGGTGTCCCTGCTTGGTCGACCAGGTGGCTGTGTCTTCCAGTGGCAGCAAACGGAGCAGCTGAAGACCAGAACACACCCAGTGAGGCATGATGGAAATTTTTATGATCTGGGGCTCTATTTCCACGAAAGCCTTTATGTGGTAAGCTGGCCTTTTTGCACACATGTCCCTTTTTATGTAGCTTCCTCACTCTTCCTATCTATCCATCTTTTCGTCTCTACTCATGTGGCTTGAGATATTCAACTTTGCGGAGTGAACAGAAAGGGTTGCATTCATTCATTCGTTCCTTCAGCCAATACCCAACGAGCCCTCACTGTGCACCAAGCATGTGTTGTGGACCATAAAGGGACACCCTAAGTCCCGTGTAAAATGGAAATGCTGTCTTTATTTAGCAACCACATATATGGTGGATGCTTGGTCTAGTTCTCCTCCTTTTTAGGATTTACATGCTGAGTGATTAATGATGTACATTGTTGGGCGTGTAGTACATGGATAAGCGTGTAAGCAGCCAGGGATGCTGATTTTAGGTGAGAACCAAGCTTGAGGCCAGAAGAGAAGTTGGAAGGATTGTTCAGAAAATATATTATGGATATAGGGAGGGGTTCTAGAGAAGACAGTGCTGAGTAAAGGAGGAAGAAGGTGGGTAAGGTTAACCAGTGACCCTGGATGCAGGGATGAGAAACAGGCTGGAGACCATCAAGTTCCCTTTGGAAGCAGAGAGAAGGCTCAGTCTCGTCTGGGGCATGTTCCATGAAACTCTAGCCCTCCCCCCCCCCCGCCCACACACAAAAAAGAAAGGAGGGTGGGGAGGGGCATCTGGGGGGCTCAGTAGGTTGTGTCTGACTTCAGCTCAGGTCATGATCTCATGGTTCGTGGGTTTGAGCCCCTTGTCGGGCTCTGTGCTGACAGCTGGGAGCCTGGAGCCTGCTTCGGATTCTGTGTCTCTCTCTCTGCCCTTCCCGTGCTTGTGTTCTGTCTCTCTCTGTCTCTCAAAGGTGAATAAATGTTAACAAAATAAAATAATAATAATAATAATAACAAAGGAGGGTGGGTTAGTCCTGGGACACTTACCACATGCTGGTACATTGGACGTTGAGCATGAGTACAGACTGTCCACAAATACAGAACTGCCTTTTACACTATTAATTTGAAAGAGTAAAACACACATCTTGAGGGTCCATATAGGTATCGCAGAGTGATATTTAAGAGAAAAGCTAATTTCTCTCTAAAATAGATAGGAGTGTGTTCTCTTTCTCCATTTCCCCTTAGGTTTTGTGCTAAAAGGTATCCTTTTAATTAATTTTAGCATGTGGTATTTCATTAAGGGTTGTAATCCATTATTCACATGAATATACTCTGCAGATAATGTCTTGTATTTATTCTGACCAACTGAAAAAATTAGAATAAGAGGCGAGACTGTAAAAAATGAGCCATTCTGTATGGTAGGTCTATAAACTACACATGTAGGCTGTCATTATTTACTTGTTCTGAGAAGAGAATTATCAACCTTCATTTTTTTGCCACCTTTACTTTCTAGATATCTAAGACCCTTGAGGATAGTGTTTTTTTTGTGTTGGTTGGTTGGTTGGTTGGTTTTTGTCTTTTGTTTTTTTCTTTTTAATGATCAACAACTCTGTAGTGAATTTTAAGAATAGAAAACATATGGGCGCCTGGGTGGCTCAGTCGGTTGAGTGTCTGACTTTGGCTCAGGTCATGATCTCACTGCTGGTGGGTTCGAGTCCCGCATTGGGCTCTGTGCTGACAGCCCAGAGCCTGGAGTCTGCTTCAGATTCTGTGTCTCCTTCTCTCTCTGCCCCTTTCCCATTTGTGCTCTGTCTCTGTCTCTTAAAAATAAATAAATGTTAATTTAAAAAAAAAAAGTATAGAATAGAAAACCTATAGCATCCATAAAAGCCATGCCATTGAATAATGTGTGCAAAGTCTCAGGTGACCTCTGTGTTTAGAAGTTGATGGGGCTTTGGGGCGCCTGGGTGGCTCAGTAGGTTAAGCGGCCGACTTCGGCTCAGGTCGTGATCTCGCGGTCCGTGAGTTCAAGCCCCGCGTTGGGCTCTGTGCTGACAGCTCAGAGCTTGGAGCCTGTTTCAGATTCTGTGTCTCCCTCTCTCTGACCCTCCCCCGTTCATGCTGTGTCTCTCTCTGTCTCAAAAATAAATAAACGTTAAAAATAAAAAAGAAGTTGATGGGGCTTCAAAAACAAAGAAAACAAAGCCTGTTTACCGCTGGGAGCCTAATAGACTAAATAGACATTTGGTGAAAGTCACAGCTTCATCCCAAGGTGTATCCACAGTCTACTTCAGATAGGATTTGGAGAATTGGCCGTGTTGATGGTGGTGAGAACACCAGAGGTCTCTTTCAAACAAGAGACCGGAACTCTTCCTGGGAAAGAATTCTTCCTGAGAGAAAAGGAATCCCCGCTGAAACACATTCACTGGGGAGTCAACTCTCAGTTGGCTCATCTGTGAGATGAGGTTAAAAATATGTGCCTCTCAGATGCATCGTGAGAAATGATGGAGATAATACTTGGGGAAATACACAGAATTCAGAGGCTTCTTTTGTTATTGCTATCATTATTCTGTTTCTTTGATAGTGGAGCCCATAAATGTTTCCCCAGTGGACTTTCATTTGAATATCTATGACATGTTCATATTTCAAGTAACTTTCAAACTAACCTTTGCTTGAGAACAATGTCGGTTAACGGTTTTTTCCTCTAATGACTGATCCCAAAGGCTTTGTGAAGAAATGTGGGATAATTGTGAGAGGAGTTAGTCTAGGGTAGGTAGGGAGAGGACATTTTCCCTGGGGGAACCCACTGTCTCTGTGGAACCAGACTTTGAGGATGTGTTCTAAGAAAGCAGCAAGCATAATTTAACCCTTGAGCTGAGGTCTTGGTTCCTACCTATCACCTCAGAGAAATTTCAGAAATGTGGTGTTACCCAAAATTTCAGTATATTATACAATTAATATTAATATTTATTTAGAGGATCTTAAGCAGGTCCACAATCAGCGAGGAGCCTGATGTGGGGCTCGATCCTATGACCCTGGGATCATGACCTGAGCTCGTGACCGACCCTCAACTGACTGAACCACCTAGGGGTCCCTAAAAGACAGAGCATGAGTGGGGGGAGGGTTAGAGAGAGAGAGAAACACAGAATCTGAAGCAGGCTCCCGGCTGAGAGCTGTCAGCACAGAGACCGACACGGAACTCGAACCCTTGAACTGTGAGATCATGACTTGAGCCGAAGTCAGATGTTTAACCGAATGGGCTACCCAGAGCCCCAAAATTTAGCTATTTTCTTTAAAAAAAAAAAGAGTTCAATGAACACCTAACCGGCAGGTACATTCTTTTTGTGCCTTTTAATTAAGTATCTGAAAATGTAAGGCATGGAGATAGGTTACAAAACATATTATTCAGTTTGCTTTCTAGAGCCATCTTCATTAAGAAGTGTTTTATGGGGCGCCTGGGTGGCTCAGTCCATTCAGCGTCTGACTTCGGCTCAGGTCATGATCTCACAATTCTTGGGTTCAAGCCCCGCGTTGGGCTCTGTGCTGACAGCTCAGAGCCTGGAGCCTGTTAGATTCTGTGTCTCCCTCTCTCTCTGCCCCTCCCCCACTCACGCTCTGTCTTTGTCTCAAAAATAAATAAATATTAAAAAAAGAAAAAGAACTGTTTTCTGGTAGGGGCACCTGGGTGGTTCTGTCGGTTGGGTGTCCGACTTCGGCTCAGGTCATGATCTCACAGCTCGTGGGTTCGAGCCCTGCGTCTGGCTCTGTGCTGACAGCTCAGAGCCTGGAGCCTGTTTCAGATTCTGTGTCTCCCTCTCTCTCTGCCCCTCTCCTCCTCATGCTCTATCTCTCTCTCTCTCTCAAAAATAAATAGACATTTAAAAAAAATTTTAAAAAATAATGAAAAGAACTGTTTTATGGTAAAAGGAGATACGAGCGTTTTTATCATTGTTATTATTGGTTTAGATGCCCATCCCCGTCTGCCACCATCAAAGCATGAACTCTGAGTGCAGAAGCCACATATATATTGCTGTGTTTGCTTTGGGAATATTCCATGCACGCTGTTGGGGGTTCCTAACAGAGTGTGCTACAGTTCAAATGCCAGGAGGGACTAGAAGATGAAGGGGTGCCCCAAGGACGCCTTCAGGGAGAAGGGCAAAACCACTATGTGATTCTGTTATGCCCAGAATTCGTGATCCCCAAAGACCACTAGGGAGCCGAGTCCGATGCAAAAGCAAAAGAGCCTTTATTCGAGCTAGCTCGAGCTCAATCCCCTACCTGCACCGACGCAGCGGTGAGATACCAGGGAGAGAGAGCGAGTTTCAAAAGCACAAAGGTTTTATAGGGGTCTAGGGGCAGCCGATTGACTGGGGAAGGGTCGTGGCCTCGGCCGATTGGCTGCGGAAGGGTCAGAGTCCTGTTACGCAGGTCGCTGGGCGTGTTTTGATCAGGAAGTTTGAACGGGTGAGCGGGAGGTTACTCAAGGGGAGGAGGCGAGATCTGAGGTTTCTGCGATTTTCCCGGAAAAGGGGTCATGTCGGGGACATAGTCACTCAAGGTGGAGGACACAGAACAAGATGGAGTCGGCCGGCATAGGCCCGCCCTTTCAATTCATGTTGCAAGATCATTCACAGTGTTGGGGTGTCTCTGGGTGGCTCAGTCAGTTAAGTGTTCGACTCTTGGTTTCGGCTCAGGTCAAGATCACGGGGTTGGGAGATCGAGCCCTGTGTCGGGCTCTGTGCTGACAACTCGGGAGCCTGCCTGAGATTCTCTTTCTCTCTCTCTCTGCCCCTCCCTCTGCCCCCTTCCCCCCAATAAATAAACAAACTTAAAAAATATTCACAGGGCTAAAAAGTACATCACGTCTGCAGGGGAAATCAGAGCCCGGTCCTTCTTTCAGTAGTAAAATGCATTTTTCCCTTCCTGCCAAAAAGAACAAAAAGTATCTTGGAATCGTGGAAGTAACAACCCCAAATTTTCTTCCCCTGTGTCAGAAGCAAACAAACAAAAATAATTACCTCCTGCCACAGCCAAGGAAAATTTACTCTTTAACAGCCTGACAAAATGTCACGGAATTACATCCATCCCTTGGTATCACCTAACAAAATCCTGGATCC